AACGCGCCATTGGACTGCACCGACTGCTTTCTGCCCTGACCGAGAGATACCGAGAGCGCCTCCAGTGAGTTGGAGAGGGTCTTGACGTTGGCCAAAAGACTCTCGACCTACATGCTCTGTAAGGTAAACATCTGTAAACTGTATGCGGCTCATACACTCTGGACGAACCCAGCACATATCAGTAACAGATGGCAACACAAGCAAATGCAAGCAAGAAAGGATGCTTAAAACCATGCGAAGAAACCCACGTTCCAGCTGTCTCTATACCTGGCAATGTAAATACGTCACATCCCGGCTGCTTGTGCAACCAGCGACCGTGTGTCATTCTACACATAAGAGCAGATTCAGCTGGCACTGCAGGCTGCCTGGTCCACTGGTGTGGCAGGCGCACTGCCTCTTGAATGGCGTTGCATGGCATTGTGATCAGAAGGGCAAGGACAGGAAAGGCGCAAAAGAGTGCAAAAGACTTCAACCATAGTTGAACCATGAAGAAAGTCACTCCTCGAATACCCTGCCTGCTGGCTCCAGAGTCCAGTCCTCGTCTTCTGTTTCCAGATCCTCCTTTGGCGAAACCCAGCACTATCCAGCACTGCAACCGTGTGCAAGCCCAAGCTGCTGTGTTCATGTTTGCCTTGCAGCGACCAGTAATTCATGCTAGCATCCGCGGCACGCCAGAGCACGTCCACAATGCCACGGGCATCCCTCAAGATCAGCAGGGTACCGTCAAAGTACCTGGCATTGGGACTTCAGGGTTCAGCTACACGGGTTGCGCGAGCGACCGATGTCCATGCCGGTGCCGGTTTGCGTGTACTGTTTCATGTGATCACGTGATGTTCATCTTCCGGTCTCGCTGCATGGCTGGCCTCAGCTGTCAAAAGACAGTGACCGGCTGAGCTAGCTGCACATGCACGGCCAGCATCATGCAAGGTAAAATCTTGTTCCCCTTTCAAACCCCGCGACCCTACCGCTCTCCCCCACCCTCTCCTTGGCATTCCGTGGCGGCCTAGCATCAACTCGGGTTGCCCCCCGCCCGACATTTCTCACAAAAGTTCTGCCCAAATGAGGCGCTCTCTGCGCACGCTAAGTTGCCGACAGTGTCAACTTCAGCGCATTGGAGCGGGTAGCTTTCGGCTTCTGGCAACAAAGGCTTCGTTCTCATGTGATTCTGCCATGAGCTTGCCCTTAACTTTACTAGCCTACGCAAAAATAGGAGGCTAACACCTCCACCGAAACAAAAGCTGTTGTTGGTGCCCTTTGTTGGAGCTTGCACGTTGCTTAACAGTGATGATCTCGTTTATACATATATATATATATGTATGTACAATACTCTCTCTTGCGCTCTTAGGTTTTGCAAGTACAGCAGTAATCATAATCAGCCTAGTAAACAAAATTTACGAGCATGGGGTTGGCGGAGAATTGCAAAAGACGCAGTCCCTTTGAAGGGCGCTAGTGCTCCACAGTCTCTTGTTTCTCTTCCCAAGGTTCTGGATCGAGTGCTGCTGCCATGCTTGCAAAGGGTTTTCCTTCCTTCCTCTGCACGTAGTCCCCGAAGAGACCGCCCGCAAGTGGCTTCCAGGATTCCCAGACCCCCACCCCGATGGACTTTCACATGGTTGTGGGTCCATGCTTGTGGGCTTGCTTGCTTTGACTTTTTTCTCTGCATGTCAGACGACGATCATGACAATTGTGGGAGGTAGACGAGAGTGAGCTCGGCATAGGAAGGATGCCACAGAAGACATGCTCAGCCCTGGCAGATTCGGGTCCGAGCAGCCATAAGACAATGGATATCTTCGCTGGCTCCACCGAATGCAGATGGAGAAATACGAAGGGCGATTGCGCAGAGGAACGAGATCCGGCGGTGAGGACTGCTGATCTTCGAAGAGGCGGCGGAGTCGGGGGAGAGCGAGGCACGCCGTTGGTTCACATGTGTTCACATGTGTTCACATGAGCTTCGGGCTATGACGCTGCTTTCTTTCAAGGGGGCCTAGGGCTCTTCTCACACACTCACACAGGTCATGCAAAAAAAAGGAACACGAAGAGACGCACAACAAAGATATGCCGCAAAGAAACTCTCAGTCTCTCCCGACTCGCATTGCAACTGCCTCGCGGAGCATGTTGGGCCCAACGAGCTCGAGGCGGCCTTGGAGCGTGATGTGGTCCTGTTGCTGGCCCCACCTGCAAGGATCCCACTTTGCAATGCTTTAGCTATACTGGCTATACTGTGCCATACTGTGCCCTCATACTCCACGCACATGATTTGCTGTAGTTTGGGACGTCGCGTCTGAACTCCCAAATGCTCCGCCTCAGCTGTGTCTCCGTGGTGGTGCGCCCGTCCGCGGAGATTTGGAGAACCGGAGAAGCAACAACATCCATGCTCAGCATCCTCCGGTCTCTGGGAATTGAGAGCTCTCAACATATCCCTACGGTTTTCAATGCAGCTCAACAGATCGCAGGGCCATGAACCTGCACTGCCACTGTATTGAGATGCATTGCGGCTCCTCCCGATGTCACCCGTGTACAAGTTCAGCAGCATGCGCGGGACGTCTCCGTGCAGCAGTCTCGGCCACTGATGTTTCATCTTGTGTAAGGCTTGAGAACCAGCAGGAAAGGCGTACAACATCGCAACATGTTCACCAAGCCCGCGGCCCCTTCTGAGCGTTTTCCTGATCACGCTTTGGGCTGTGGCGAAGAATTTTGCGGGCAGGCATTCGGCCAGCTATAGAGTCGAGACTTTGGCTGCTTGGCAGTGCTACTGCACTGCTTGACTTACGTTCTTAGCGTGGCTTTTGCACTGCACATTCCCGTATGTCCGTGCTCCTTGGGGCTGGTGACGTGCCAGGTGCCCTCGAGGTCTCGGATCGAGGACACCTCAGCTTGAGACAAGGCCGGCCAGATGTCCCCAGTTTGCCACTCCCCCCCCCGGCTGTTTCCATCTGAGCGCTGGGCGAGGCACTGTGGCGTGGTGCCCTCGAGGGCCGCAATCGCGGCCTTGCGTCTACAATCCCTTTCTTGCGGCGGACTCTGATAAGCAGGCGCAGCGGCATGCTCACGGAGGCAAACCCAACATGGCCCAGGCGTGCATTCGTACTTAGTCCTTCACGCTTTTCCCGCCATGTCCCGCCTGCGAGGGCTGGCTGCCCAGCTTCTCCTTCAGCGACCGCCAAGGGCCCCGAACCGGTGCAGCGACATTTGTCATCCTGGATTCGAAGTGCAACTCAGCACAATGAATCCCATCAAACATCATCAACTGACATAGTCAACCAGGCTACCAAAACCCAAACTCAACTAATCATAACTCATCTAATGGATAAGATCGAAGCCACTTGGGGCCATGCGAGAATGCTTCCAAGCCATGCTCACTGAAGAACCTGCTGCGCTGCTTCGATCTCTGGGAAACGACTGCCACTCAGCGTGCAAATGTTCGGCAGCTGCCCTTCCACCGAACCCTACAATGTGCCCCAGAGTCAGAAAACCCAGAGCCCGTGGCCTCGCAGTGAGCATGCCCAACACCAAACTTGAGGCCCAGAACCTGCAAAGTGCATCAATACCAGGGCAGTGGTCTGGACTTCGCTCCAGATTGCAAGGGCTTAGTGTGCTTTCTGCGTGCCCCTTGAACTGAAGCACATACGGCAGCTACTATTCTTCTGATACGATGCTCCGAGGACCCCAGCATTGCCCAGCGACTGTACAGATGTGTTGAGGAGGAAGGCTTCTTGAAAGCGCGTCTATGAATTGGAACAAATCTCTCCCAGCCTACCAGATTAAAGCCGCGTGGGGCATGTCACGGCACGTCATAGTCCCGGTGACTATCGACACATTCGGGGACATTTTTGATGAGGCATTCGAGTTTCCCAGGCGTAGTATGCAAACGTCGATTTATCGGTACAGCATCAGCTACTAGAACTTTCCGTTGCAAACGGTGGTTCTCGATTCTGTGCTTTGCTTACAATGATACATTTAATCATGCTGGGTTCTTGGAATCAAAATGCGTAGGTGGGCTCAGTACATCCTGCGCTTCTTGAAATGTATCTAGCAACCAGTGGGCTTTTGGTTTGCCCCAGCTCTTGAAAGTTTGATTCGAGGTATGGCTGTGTTTGACTCGACAGGAAGTTCTCTCAAGGGGTCGTTATCAGCTCGAATGATGCGGCCCAGGAGTGCGCATTCTTCCCGACACCGCGAGTCATGTTGGTGATGGTGTTGCACTGGTGTTGCTGAGACAGCATGCCTAGAACTTTCTGAGATGCTCTTTTGTTGATGTCCTTTCTAGATTCTGTGGACTGCAACTGAAACGCTCCTTACGGGCCTCCTTCTGCCTTGCTGCTTCTGCGCCATGAGCACCATTGCTTTGCCTGGCACGGTGGCGCCAAGTGTGCACTCCCAACACAGGTCATGCACGCTGGTGTCCCATACTTACTGACACCGCCTTGTGGTGTCACAAGTTAAGTCGAGTCATAAATGCAACGGAGGCCGCACAATCTCATGACGGGCACATTATGCGAGTTGGAGTAATGGGCTGCCCTCCGAAACGTCGGACCTGGTGTCCACAAAGCCTGGAGCCGCTGTCAACGTCGCAGTCGTCTGAGCCCAAACGCTTATGGCTCCAAAAATGTGCTTCGAATGGTCATTGCACTAGCAAACAGCAAAAAGCAGATGTGACGCTGACTCTTTCGAGCTGCTAGGGCTACGACATGCTGCATGAGCTGAGTGGGCTTCCATTTTTGTGCGCGCTGTCCACTGCTTGGCAGTGAAGCGAGGTGCATTTACGACCAACACATTGTGTGTCGGTACCAGGCGTTTACGTTTAAGCAACCTTGCGCAATGGTCACTCGAGACCCAAGACCCATATCGGCTTGATTTCTCATTTCTACCTATCCAGCTTGACAAGGCGCATCCACTGCTGAAGCAGCATTATCATCGGCAGGGTTCTCTGCAGCACTCTCCAAATTCTGGAACTCGACATTGGACATTAAATGTCCTGTCCACATTTTTTGACACGTGAGTCAGAAGATCTTCGCCCATTCCATTCCTGGTCGCACAGCTCTTTCAGGTCATTTCAGCTCTACTTCATCAGCCCTACTCAGCTCAAGCATGAGTCCGTGAAATTTTGGAGTGCCATGCCCGAAAGGTCGTCCAGGTTTTCAGGCGAACGAAAAAGCCACTTCTATCCAGGGCTAAGCTCGTGACCCTTGGCGAAGGTGAAGGTCTCTGTGCTTACCTTCATCCGACTTGTTCTGGCTCAGGAACACTTGTCTACAAGCCAGTCAAAGACACAACATCTACCAAGATGCGTGATCCATCAGGTCACCGTCCGGCTCCTGAAGACGCGAACAGGCACCCTATCAAAGTACTACATGGCAATGAACGAACTGAACCCGCGGCATTGCAAGCATCTACGCGTAGTTACTTGAAGGGGGCCCGTGCGCCTCCCAATTCTTCATCTGCGCCTGCAGATCACAAATAGATTCCGCCCATCATGGAAAATGCAACCACCGAGGGGGGAAGGAATCAGTAGCGGCGCTCACACCGGACACATGTAAGAAGGGAAGTAGCGCTGCATGGACAAGCTTCTCATCACTCCGGCCTGTGCATCTGGCTGCCACGGAGGTGGAAAGAAGCCCCCAGCCAGAGCATCCCAGTCAAACCTGGACGGGGCCACGAAAACAAAAATTCCGCCCACTGCACACGCCCATGCACACTCTCACCATCCAACACTTGCTCTTACTGCTCCTCCAGCATGTCTGCCGAGGCCGCTACCCTTTGAACCACAGATGCTTCTTGATCTCCTCCACACAGCATGGCATGACCGCGCAGAGAGTGAGCTGAGCTTGGGGCCAGGAAAAGTCATGCAAACACATACGCAAGTGTCACTGAAACTCCGCCGTCAACATCCTGAACCCTTGGCGCCAACACATGCTAAACGAGCAACTCACTGGCTCAACCCAACTTTTTGGCAAGAAAAGGATGCCTCGTGACTCTTCCTGTAACAGTTTACATCAGTTTGCCGTCCCTTAACTTCTTGACGAACTCTTCAATCGCCTTCATGAGATCCCAAGAGATCCGGGAGGGTCCTTGGCCCCGGAGCTGCCCAAGCGTCGCTCCGGCCTCCGCTCCAGGAGCCCGCTGAGCACCTTCAAAATGATGCAAATTATTTTACTTCGAACATCCCCACCTTGCTCATCGTTAAAAGGAAAGAGCGCAAATAAGATGTTCCAAACAAAGACACATTGATTCAAATACGCTTTCTTAGTTTTTGCTTGCAAATGGGGTAGGTTGGGCACTCCAGGGAGTCCCTGGGGTTGGGCATTCAAATACGCTTTCTTAGTTTTTGCTTGCAAATGGGGTAGGTTGGGCACTCCAGGGAGTCCCTGGGGTTGGGCACTCCAAAGAGGGTTTGGGAGAAGGGAGTCTCTGGGTTTGGGCACTCCAAGGAGTTTCTGGTTCTGGGGTTGGGCACTCCATCGTCTCCAGGGTCTCGGTGCTTGGGCACTCCAGGGAGTCTCTGGCGTTGGGCACTCCAGAAATTCTCTGCCTGGGGTTGGGCACTCTTGGGGTTGGGCCTCCAGGGAGGCTCTGGGGTTGGGCACTCCAGGGAGACTCTGGGTTGGGCGCTCCAGGAGTTTCTGGGTTGGGCCCTCCACAAAATCTCTGGATTCGGTTTTTCCAGGGAGTCTCTGGGGTTGGGCACCACTCCAGACAGAATCTGGGGGCGAGGAGAAGAGTTCCGGGCGAGGAGAAGAGTTGAGGTTAAAATCTAACAACCCCACACCGAAGCTGGGGAAAAAGAAGATGATTGCTCAGAATATCTCAGAATAATCTGGGGAGTGTTGGGGAGTGTGGGCACATTTTTGCGATGCTGATGCGGAGCGCCTGTATGGCATCTTCAGCGACATAGTTCGGGAATTTCAGCGGAGCCTGCTTCGTACACTTTGCTGTGGGTTTACGATGCATGCGATGATTCGAAAACAGTCAACATGACCTGCAAATGGTCAGTAATTGTTCTGCTGCCTCGCTGATTGCAGCGAACAGGCGCATCTGATCCTGCATGGACAGTCGGGCAACTCCAAAACCCAACGCTGCTGCAGCACTTCTTTCGTCTGAGACTGAAAGACAGAACATTTGAACATGTGAACAAATGATATCCCAAAAGTCCAACACATATTACTACATCCTACGAGCGCACAGCCCAGCAGTGCCTGTCCCAGCAGAGCCCCCTCCCTGCCTCCTCACCGGCTCCGAAGGGGATCGGGCCAACCACGAACCTCACCCAACACATGTCTCACTTTCGTGTCACTCTCACACTTACAAGCAGAGACACACACACACACACACAGAGACACAGCCAACCTGTCGGAGTCTGTCGGACCCAATCCGTCAGGCTGCAAATACAAGCTGGTGCCAGTGCCGACAAGTTACTCATATAGCATGACTCCGAGTGACCACCAGTCAATGGACTTGGTGTATCCTTTGCCTTTGATCACCTGCACGGCTTCTCAATTCTTACCGTTCGGAATCTCTAGGCCGCTTGTGCAGTTGCCACATATTGCCATGTGACCATGGACCCAAGCACAAGAACGGCCTCCGGTGCCAAGTACTCTGGAGTCCCGACGAGCGTACTTGCGCGGATCTCCTGTCAAGCCGGGGCCCGCAACAAGCTCAGCACTACTGTACTGCCCAGCAACCTTGCATTGAGCCTAAGACCCCCCCCCACTACGTCTGCGTGTAGCTGTCCTTTTTGCAGCACCCAAAGTCCACCAGCTTGGCCCTCCCTGCGAAGTCCAGCAGCACCTCTGAGGTTCCGAGAGACTTCAGGGACATCAGGCACAAGTTCATGACCAGACCGGAGGTCGAACCCTGCGGGAAATGCACTACATGATATATCGCATTATGCATACCGATGAGACGTGCAAGACCAATGAAGCTGCAAGGGTGCGGACATGCGCGGACATGACGAGCTCTGGTACTTCGGGCATCTTCAGGCCGAGATGCGTTCTCGGGCTTCAGATCCCTGTACATAATCCCACGGCCGTGCAGGTACTCGATGCCTCAAGCCGCCAAGCTTACAAAAACAGAGAGGGAGGGGAGGAATTGAAACCGCACGCAGAATGGGTTTGCAGGAAAGCACTCACGCCATGGAAAGACTTTGAAGTACATGGGGATGCACCCGCCCTCCCTCCAAGCCTAAAGCGATCGAGCCCGTGAAGAACTGCGACTGCAGCTTTGTCAAAGCCTGGCAACATTTTTAGATAGCATTGTGTGTGAAGTGTTCGCATGCAGTCCACTACCAATCTCTTCGATTGAGTACTGACTACTCAACAAACCGAGCAAGGACCCCTAAGTCTCCAGCGCCGATGGCTCGGATAGCATAGAAGAGGTCGCCACCACCCAGGAACTCGGTCAGAAAGTAGACGTTGTACTTGTCCTGGTGGTGCGGTGTCTGACAGTGAGGCTCAGACTGGTGCAGGGTTGAGTTCGGAAGCTACTTGAGGCTTTTGCTACAGGGTCCTGGAACGTCTTGATGAACTGCACGATACATGGGTGGTAGCACTGAGCATTCACCTTCGGCAGTCGCTATTTCAATGGCAAGTACAGGAACTGTCCAACAGCTACTTAAGCCACTACGATGCTAAATCCGATCACGTTTCATCCAAATGAGGGTCATCTGGCTGATTGTGAACATGCATATGCAGTACCAAGTACAATGCATCCATTGCATCCATTGGAGCCCCAAGGAAGCCGCCTCACGCTCCATGATGATGGCCTTCTCTTGGCGGCCTTTCACCACCTGCATTCCGCACAGCTACACTTGACAGCCTTCCAAGACCATCCTGACCAACAACAGCCCCCATGGAAGGGCCTGCGCCTTCTTCACGCACTTCAGCGCATACTCAGGGGCATCCTGGCTGCAATTGTATCTTTTAGCTCAGCATCGTGCTGTGATGAAGAGAACGTCCACGACTTGATTTGAGGAGGCAAAAGTGGCTGCTTTTTTGAAGTAAACAGCCTCATTAACTTATTAGTCGTGTGCCATGCGACCAAGCACATGCCAGTTGATCTAGATTGCTTGGTCATGACATGTAAGAAGTAACTTCTTGGCGAAAGTTTTAACGAAAGTCAACGTTTTTTCCGTGAAGGACCCAGCCCTCCCTGGACCCTTCCTTCATGAACTTAATCCTAGGCTCACCTCCCTCAAACCACAGCCATGCTTGCAATCCGAATCTTACCATCAACCCCTCCTCAAGAAACCTAAACTGAGTACTCGCATCCGTAGAAACAGAACAAACTCCAGGACTGTAGGTCTGTTTGGGTGCCCAGAGCGAGAGACTCCAAGAGCCCCAAAATGCAGAAGGCCTTCTTGCCCTTGGGCGTCACGAGGCGGACGACGCCGAAGGTGCCCCGGCCGACCACCGCAGTACACTGGGCACAAGGATGGCACAGGCTTCGGCCACAAAGTCGTCTTTGTCCGAAATATCGGAAGTCTACGCAGTCTAAGGTAAGGGTACGGCAGCTCCGCAAAGCTGACGGATGCTGAGGAGCTTGCTTCTACTGCTGTCTCACGAACATGCTGATCAAACCATTCAAACCCAACCGAATCAGCACATCAAGTCCTATTCCAGCAGCAGAGTGAAGCCAAGTCTCCTGAAGATCGGAGATGGAGAGATTGAGATCCTGCACGTCAGGACAGTATGCCCACTGGCCACATGTAACTGCGGGTTGGTTTATGTCCTGCAGCTGCATGCGGCGCTCAAGTTCATCTTTGAAGTGGCCGACAATCTGAAAGAATTCCTGCAGAATGTACTTGCCCAGTTCTACATCTGGTGGTATTTCCATGTGATGCAATGAGCCGAACAAGTTTTGTAGGAAGGATGCGCAAGCTCCCAACAAAGTGGGCTAAGGTGTGCGCATCGGCATCCAGCACCAAGCAGATGCACTCGTCAAGCGCCTTCGCCAGTGCTTCTGGAACTGTGTAGAGTGCAAAGCAACGAGCACGCTAGTCTTTGGTATTGCAAAGAGTTTGTTGAAACGTGTTAACAACATGATCGCAACCGTTCACAGCAACCTGCAGTCGCCAACTCGGCGATGCCTGGCATGTGGCTGACCGTCTTTCCTGAAGAAGCAAACCACGCTCGCCAAAGTAATCCCACCTGCGCTGGCAAGGGTGCAAGGGACTTACGCGGCCTACCCGCCTTACACCTTGTGAACCGGAATCGTCAGACTTTCCTGATTAAGCTTCTGAACAACGCTTTGACTAACGATTTTTCACACTTCGAACTCCGGAGCCTCCCCAGTGTTCGCAAGACTTTGCCATCCTTCCGCACCTGGGAGTGCCAAGTCAGGAGCTCACCCGTGCTGCTTCAAACATAAGCACTTCCTGAAACCTATGAGATGATGAACAACTGCTCTCTGTGTGGGTGTGCCGCGGGGTTCCGCCAAAAGCTATTTCTTCATGTCCTGGCAAGCCCCACATTTGCTTGTCCAAGCCACCACCACCGTCCCTCTCTGGATGAGGTAGAAATGCCTCCGAAAGAGCTTGACCAGCTTCGATGCTGTCAAATGCAGGCTCTCAAAACAACTTCGGGAATGCAAACACACTTGTGTCACCCTGCCTTGCGGGGTCATCTTGCTGGACGATGATCTCCCCTGCCTCGGTTTTGGTCAAAGTTCGAAAGGCTTGCGCCCCCAAGCATAGCTGCACACCCCACAGGCCCAAAGTGGTATGCGCACCCCCGGACAGGCATCAGCGCTTGTCTCCAAAAGCAGGGCTAATACATCTGCAGGCACCTGCAACTAATCACAAAACCAAGAAGCACCTAGGACCTGGTAGCAACGTCCTTTGTTTACCTGTCTGAAACCCAGCCCTAGGCCTCCTTAGCAAATTGCTGTGGGTCTGTTGAAATCTGGCGCAGATCGCTCCGAGCTCCTTACAGCAAAGATCTGCTGCTCCAGCTCTCGCACAGTGCGGTCGATTTGCTCCTGGCCGAGGCTTGACCAGACCCGCCTCAACTCCAGAACCCTATCGTGCCCAGCATCCATGAGTCAGCAAATAGTCAAGCTTCATTCATCGACTGCAGCTTCACCACGGAACAACCATCCAAGTACTCTCCTCGTTCAAATTCTTGAAGAGAAAGATGTCCGAAAGCACGCGCTTGATCTCTGCGCAGCGCATGACCTCCCAAGAACGCGGGGGTGAGCCGGAAAGGAGATCTTCTACCCTCAACCGACCTCCATCAAGGAGTCTCCCAGCAGTTCCTGCACGTTGCTGTGCAGGATGCGGTGGAGGCGCACCTGAGGTCGCTTCAACATGTGTATGGACTGACCTGAGCGGCCGCAGTCAATTCTAAAACCTTTGCTTCCAAAATGCTGTCCCAAAAGCCAAACTAAAAACCTGAACCTTATATGGTATCGAAGACATAAAGGGCACTTGCACATGCACTGGAGCTGGATACCCTTCGAGTAGTCAAACGGCAATGCTTGTTTTGGTGAGCTTCGGAGGGTTACCTATGCCGCTGAGGACCGAGGAGTCGCATGTGGGAGGGCGATGGAGAGCCAAACGAAGAGCAACACTTCGCGTGCTTTGGCATCGACTCAGTCAGAATCTTTTCTGATCAAGATTCACGACATTCCAAAACCTGATCGCAGGAGCGATCACTCCTGTGGCTGCTGGGCTGCCCAGCACTGATAGCACGAAGAAAAGTATGAGATGCGGTTTAGGGTTCAGGGCTTTTGGGGGGGCTTTTATAAGCTCGATTGCCTTTTTGTTCAGCGTGGCGGAGCTCTGGTGTAAACTTCAACTTTTCGGCAGCACCCAACACCGTAGATTGTAAATTTCGAGGTGCTAACAGCGACCGCTTCCGTTCAAACGCTGTTGTTGATCTAAAGCATTTCCCGGCGTCGGCAACTATAGTAACTATCACGTGTTCCGCAACTCCCATTGTTTAACGTTCAGCATGTTTGATTGTTACTCCGAATGCGAAAGGCTCAAAACCGACAGAAAGGGGTTTGGCTTGGCTGTATAACTAAAGGAAATCAACAAATAACTACACAATAGACTCCGCCAGACTGTTTCCCGAATGCCTTGCCGATGGCAATCCCGAAGGTTGACATGGAAACGCCTTCCAAGAACTCCTGTCCAGGAAGCGATCTGCATCCAAGCGAACACCACAGAAACTTGATGAAACTTGCAAAGGGCCCTTGTGAACACCATAAACCCCATGTGCTCCCTAAACCCTCGGACTCATACAAGCAACACGGGATACAACAACAGCTCTCCGGCTGCTTGCCGTAGCAATGGCCCGCTTCAACGACCTGCGCGGCAAAGAAAGCGAGAGCAAGTCGCACTATGCAATGCTCACAGCCACTCGAACATCTTTGAATCGAAGAATGCGCAATTCGCGGTGGGGCCCTGTTGGGCCTTATCGGACTGCTTGATGATGTCAACATCGTCGGCAGCAAAGACCTGCAACTGTTGAGTTTAGGGGTCGACTCCTAGTTCGACAGTACAGGAGAGCGCGTTCCAGTCACTTGAACCCCTGAACCTAACTGATTCGACTTGGAGCCACTGGTTTCAACGGTACGAAACTCGTCACTGGTCATCCCGAGTCCACTGCCAGGTCGTCCTCCTCTCGGGTTTTGGCGAGGCCCTGCATGATCGCCACCTGCACCCCGGCCACTGATTCGACATAGACTTTAAACGTCATCAAACATTGAACTCAGACTCCAGACTAGACTCTGGACAAACCGCGCCTGTCCAGAGATCACCACAATCAGCTGCGCCCCATCCTGGGGTGCAAAGATGATTTCCCCAGGCTCGAAGGTACCATCCTGAGGCATGTTCCGGGCAAACCTGATGGTGCCTTGGACATGCTGCTCAGCTTACACCTTCGCACACGAGCTACGTCCTCTGGTCTGAGAGGCGTGGCGTTTGGAGCAGAAGAACCCCCCCCCCTAGGACCTTGCTACGTCCATGAGGGGCCGATCCAGAGGGTCCACCATGTTTGGCTGGCCTTTGACCCAGCTCCCTGAAGCCCTCCCCTTGTCCCACGAGTGGACCTCTATGGGCTCCTCTGTACTCGATATGGACCCCCTTATCACCCCTGTGGAATGTCACACCCCTATGACCATCTGCACCGGCCAGGTCCAGTCTAGCGGTCTAGCGTTCACATTTAACAAACCTGCTGCAACAGACAGCAAGCAAAGGGGTCAGGGACATCGGTTTTACTTGTTCTTCATTCTGCATCGTAAAGACTGGAGGCCCGACTTGTGTCGAGTGGTTGCATTGGCAGTTCTATTTGGGCTGGGGGTAGCTGTGTGCCCCACATGTACAGCAGCGACAACCCACTGAACAAAACAAGCAAACACTGCGCCGCCTCGGTCCTAGAGATGAGGAGGTTCCTCAGCAGTGTGCCGAGTCTCCAGGTTTGTCGAATTTCCATCGAAACACGACATAAGAACTTTAAAAGGACCCCAACATTGGACGCGGCATGAGCCTCCACGGCCTCCGCATGCTCAGATCATCTGCGATGCCAAGAGCTGCCAAGTAGCACTTGCTGCTCCGAGAGAATACGCCACGGCTCTGGGTCCAGTGGGTTCCGTGGCAGGCTGTGGAGGATGGCCTGGCTGAGGCTGGCAGAGTTCATACATGTTACATGGCCGGCAGGGTGGAAACACGCACGCGCACGCACCTGAAAGACAACAGGTACGCCAGTGTGCAGTGTGTATATATAATACAATAGAATCGAATAGAATAAGAGTAGAGTAGAATAGAATAGAATAGAATAAAAAACAAAATAGAATAGAATAGAATAGAGTAGAATAGCATGGAATAGAACTGAACAGAATGAATAGTATAGCATAGAATATAAATGTGAGGCGCGGAGTCGTATGGAACCGGGCTGCACAATGGGTTGTTGATGCGGATTGATTCTGAGCAAAGCAAGTGGACACTGGCAGGAGTCCATGACGAATGGGGTCTGGTGGTGTCAGGTTTGGCTGTAGCAATCACTGTGTGCTGCATGGGTGCGAGTGCACTCTGGCACACTTACGCCTAGTTACTTAAGCCTCCTCGGTCTGACCTTGAAGGCCGCCCGTCGCAGCACGTCAAGCACCGATGGGCTGAAGCCGCTGAGTGCTGCCTGGCCCCGTGATTTCACAAAGAGTGACCAGGGCTTCGAGCAGACAAGGCCACGAATAACATGAAAAGTCGGAAAATGTCCGAAACATCTTCTCAGCAAAGGGCCTTGTTCAAGCAGAGGCATTCCACAGGTCCCTTGGCGAACGCTTTGGCCTGACAATGCCAGGAACATGTTTAGAGGTGCATACATTCTGCCCGCACTTCAGCCATCATGCACTCAACTTTTCAGGCTAAACCCTCTGCCAAGTCAGATTGCCGCAACGCCATTTCTGAGAAATGTTGCGACCAACAAAGTTAAAGAACACCACATCCCATCACTACGAATGGAGCATGTGCTTTACACTCCCTCCCGAAACTCTCCGAGCATGTTACACAGTTTCGGTTCTCGAGCCATCCCATGCCCAAACACTGTTCCGTGCACTATTCCCCGGAGCATCCGCAATTCATGCTCACGATTGCTCCGCGTTCGGTGCTTGTGTCTCAGCTGCTCTGCAAAAGAGTAACCGCAGCATAACATGAAGGAAAGCCTAAGCCTTGGTGTCAGCGAAACATGAATATGGCGAAGCTCACATAGCATTGACCCGCCTGCTGCTTGTTGTAGATGACCCCCACACTCCCGATGACAGATCCAGGCTTGCCGTATGACACCCTCACCAGAGTGCATCATAGCGCATCTGTCCATTCCGCACTGCTTCTGCACAACACAATTCCACCGGTTTGCGATGAGCTGCATGCTGCTTGCATGACAAGTTGGACCAAGTACCTGCCTGTCGAAGGCATCAGCAGTCGATTCAGCTGCAGCCACCCGGCCACTGATGACTATCAGCCTTCGAAGCGCTCAGGTGGTAAATGGAAGAGAGCATTGATGCCTCTTGCTGTCAAACGTAGCAGTTCTGGGGTTGAGTGACAACCTCAGCATTTAACCAGAGCATTTCCAAAATGTCTCGCTGGTTCACAGTTGTCATGTCTGAAGGGAACTTCACGAACAAAATGACAACTTCAAAAAAATGCTAAATGTCCATTCTGTTTCGCTGCCCTGGTACCTGACTCAACGTGCAGGAAAACACGGAATGCGGAAAATTACGAGGTGAAGAAGAACATACTTTCGTGCTCGTGCGCCTTCACTGCTCTGCAGCAACCGCCTCTCAGTACGAAAAAAGGCCGCAGAAAGAAAACAAAATAAAGCGTGTCTGACCAGACTCTACATTGTTCGGCCGGGGAGGCACTTTCTTTCCTTAGGGGTTTAGGGGAAGCAGCTGCCTGGGTGGACGTGTGCGGCGCTTTAACATGAATTTCTATGCCGGGAGCTCACAAACTTAGCTCGCAGCATGCACTCGCCAACCTCCTCGTCCTTCAAGACAATGGACCCGTCCTGTGCAGAGGATGAAGCTTCAGATGTTTCTGAGTGCCGGTTCTCAGTCTTGTCGGCCTTTGGCCATTGTGTGTAGCAGGCGGTAACAGACTGACAATGTGCAAGTAAACCGAAAAAACATAACCAGTACGGAATGACGACTACATAGCAAAGAGATCCAAAGGCAGCGCCTCGAAGGTTTTTGAAGTACAGACTGCGGCCAAGGACTTCTGGTCATCCTTTGTGGTTACGGGTCACAGCGAGGCACGTTTCAAAGCACTGTGTCGTTGATGACATCTTTTGCAACTATATCCGCAGTCACGCAGTCTTCACCGGACGTGACACTCCACAGCATATAGTCCTCCTTCAGATACCGGAAATCCTGGCACGCCTGGAAAAACTCCATGGCCTCAACAAGCAACGCACTGCTCGGTGACTGCGGGCTCTGGGCGTGTTTCCCGATGTCTGTCTGAACAACATGGAACAATGCTCTGCAAGCCCCCTCCCCCGCCCCCCGCACAGAAGCCCAGTCCAGACGCTGCTCATAACATCATGGCTACTCGGCTACTTGTCTCCAAGCCCAGAGATGCAAAAGCCAGCATGCGCCCGTTTTAGGCGTGCAGTCAAGAGCCTTCTCTATCTGGGACGAACTCAGCTGCTCTTTGCACTCCAGGAACCTTTGCCTCTCCTCACATTGCACAACACACGAGCGCACACACAAGCACCAGCAAAGATACCTCTGCGTAGCGGTGGCAACTTCCGTCAAGAGTCACGCTACACAAGCTCCGGTGTGTGTTAGTGTCAGAAGTTCGGACAGCTGGAGCCATACTTCCTAGCGAAAAACCTGGAAACTGCAAAGTCGTCTCCTCGGGTGATGGTTCGGACATGTGATTTGATAGTTGCTGTAACAAGCCGCACAGACGTCATCCCGCAAACAAGTTCCTCCGCCTCATGTAGTCAAGGACCTCTCGATTTTTGAGAGTTGGGGTTTTTCAGTGGTGATTGAAGCTCGTGTGGCCTAATGGATAAGGCGCCATTGCGGGTTCGAGTCCCACCTCGAGTACATTTTCTTTGTTCTTATTCCATGCACGTGATCTTTCTTTGTGTCTTTCTCTGTAGGGGCCTCTTTCCTGCCTTCATTCTTTCGCCCGAAGAAAGCCACTCCCAAATGTAGAAAGTAGGAACATGTAGGGAAAATTAGGAAAACATCATCCAAGCAGAAGTCCATCTTCCAGAGTTCGCCATTCTCTGTGGCGACAATCGTGGTCTTGGCACAAGTGATTCCAGAAAAAGATATTGAAGACTTGAAGACTGCAATCGAAAGCGACACTGCACAGAATCCGGTGAAGCTGGACAGCTCCCGCACTTGGCGCTGGGCAGATGAAGGGATACTGTACAGCAAGGCAAGCTCCCCGAAGGAATCGCCGGGCCTGAGCCGCGGCGTAGTTATAGTCTGCCCTCCATTGATTCCCAGAGTTGGCACACCCAAGATCCCTGCCCAAGAACATTGCTCAGACAGACGTTGTCCTGCACCATCTGGAAACTCCCATACCTGGTCACAGTCCCTAGTCTGAAGAACTGCGCCCGCATCTGTAGGTAAAGCGATTGTAGAAGCTTTGAGGCTACGTGATCCTGGACAGAAGTCGGCTTGCCTGATGAAGTACACAGACTCCACGGTTTCACCCTGTCCCACGATGACCTCTCAAGACCATGGAGCATGTTCCTTGCATCTACATAGGCTACTTGGAGCGTAGAGGAACGAACCCATATCGTAAATGCGCCGAGGCTACGGGCCCAGGACATTTTCGGATCCCCACTTCTTCAGCTCTGTTGTTGATCCGATGTCCTCTAATAAGGCGAGCACGGATTCCTCCTTGGCCCAGTGAGCTATGCGTTCGGATCCCCGAATGCTCTGCGGGTCGCGTAGCGACGACAGTGGAACCTTGAAACCTCCACCTAGACAAGAAGAACGCCGTGATTGAACCAACTACATCGCTGGTCAAGAACCGATGCCTCCTGAGGGACAGCATGCTTGACCTTCATGGAGAGACTTAGTGCCTGCAAACCGTCAACGCAGCAAAAAAACGCTGTGCACGCAAGACTTTTCTGTTCTGTCTGTCTGTGCGCACGCCCTGCCTTGCACTCCACTTCTGGCACCGACTTCAAGAGGAAGTGCTTCTGAAAAGCCTCACGCAGCTGAATGATTTGGCTTGAGCCATCAGCCGACACAGGGGAATTTCCTGCGGCTCTCAGAAACATTCCGGCATATTCCAGAAGCCAGCACAGCAAAAACGCGTTGCATCCAGTGCCTTTGTGAGGAACTCCTCGAGCTGGGGATCCAACATCTCTGGCCTCTGGTTCTAAAGGTTTACAGGCGACCGTACCATACCGGTTACCAATTTCCCAGCTCCAGCATTTCCAGCAATACATCGCGTGTCCCAGGTCGGGACTATCGGTCGGGCTTGGCCCCAGGCTTGACAGTCTGGCTTGCACGCCTGCTGAGAGAAAAGGAGTGCGCATGTGAACCCCTCGCATCTACTTACTCATCTTACGTAGCTCGTGACTTCACTACCATTGTGCCAAAGCAACCTATGCCAAACAGAGACATGTGAGACCTTGCTACCCCACAGCCTTCCAAGCACGGGGCCATTCAGTGGACTGAGCTCTGCCGGCGGGACGCGGGTTTCCTCTCTCACGGAACATCTCAGAACATCAAAAGAACATCTCAGAACATCTAAAAACTTGTTTATGACCATCTACGAGCAGGCGGAGATGTGCCGCGCGTATCACGCGTGAAGTCGCATCGAACGGGGCAAGCATCCGGCGGGCCCACAGCCAACATCATCAACAAGCGGCTTAATCTACGACTTCATCTACGCCTCCTTTATGTGCCGATTTGTCTTAGACTCTTTCCTGCTCGGGCACTGCAGAGATCCGGGAGCGCTTTTCTCGGCGGCGCATCGTCGCCGGACCATCCACCTCTGGGAGTCCACTCTCCTCTGCCTTCTCTCATACACGTTTGTCCGCTGCTGCTAGAATATGCTTTCATGTGTCTTCTGATTCTGCCACACTTCACCTTACCCTACCTTAGTGCCCGACAGATGTCCCGGAGGTCTCGCTTGGGAAAGTTGCCTCAGCCACGCAGAACTGTGCGAATCTGCGCCATCGCATTCATAGTCTCATACTGTTGAGTGGCTCAACATTCCTGAGCCCAAGACTACATTCCCAAGTTGACCTACCTGTCGGGTGCCAGAGTCAAGCTGAATAAGGAGCGAGAATGAGGCAGGTAAACGCTAGCCGCTGGCCGATAACATGACAGTCTGGCAAAGTCTGGAACAATGAGCGACAACACGTCTTCTCTTTTTGTGAACGATAGAAGCAAGCAACCCCAAACTGTTGAACGGCAGAAGCAACCCCAGGTTCGAGTGCGGACATTGTGGCAATCGCCTCGAGCGCGTCACTCGGTGCCTCGGCCCCCTCCTGCAGGATGCCAATGGATGCCAATGGAGGTGCCAATGGATGCCAGATGCGTGAAACTGCGAGAACGCTGCGAAGACCCTACCCATCGTCCAGCCTGGGACAAGGCGGATGCCGAAGACCCTCCTTTGGAGGGATCCGAAACGCCCGCCAGGGCCTGGCATCGAAGGGAAGATGATCTACAGCGGAGACTACGAGACTTCCTACTGAACCTTAGCGTGGGTAAACTGTTGCCGCCATTTGATTTCAGACAGTTTCAGACTCCTTGTGCGTCCCTCGTAATTTGTGCTTGGACCTATTCACGTAAAGCCATGTGGACATTTCGCATCATGTCACGGTTCTTTGCAATCCAGCGATCGGCAGCCTTGGCTTTGGAGGCGCTCGCAGCACCATTGCCCATTATGGGAGGTCTACTGAAGATGCTCCGCACTTAGTGGGATCTTTGGTTCATATGGGATGGGTGCTACATGGTCATGCTTTCTTGCTCGGGAGGTGGATGACCTGCATGACCTGCTCTTCTCACTTGTGTGCACTACATGCATGATCATGCACATGACGACTACATGTGCAGGGAACCCGCAAACCTCATAGAGTTTGGATTGCGCCGGTCGCAAGTCCATGGGACCTATTGCTGCGCTAAAAACTTGGGCCTATAGACAGCAGCTCAGAAATCACTTGCATTGCGCGCAGCTTCTGCAGCTGATTGAGAGCTTACGCAACGCGAAAAAACAAATAAACAAAAAAAACTAATCGAGAAGAAACATCACCTTTAATTACAGCTCTGGAACTTCACAACTTCGTTTCAGGTTGCGAAGGAAGTTGTATGACCAATCATTCTGACCATCAGAGCAATTGTCCCAGTTGCCGCATGGCAGCAAACAAGGCTAAACATTCCCATAACTCCGTGATGTGCCTCGAACCCTCCCCCACTCTTCGAGGTTCACAGTCATAGCATGTTGTCCCCGTGTGGAGCATGTCGCAGCACCCTTTGTCAGCACCTTCTGGCCGTCCAATGTGCCCTTTAGGCACGCGGGTATCTCAGTCAAAGGTTCGCAACTTGCTGTCTCGCATGTTCGGCTTTGACCTGTCTGTTAGACAGCAAGGTGCGCCTCGAAATGAAATCCCCAGTGAAACCGAGCTACTTTTGATTCAGCAGGCTGAAGTCTCAGGTCCTTGGCATAAGCAGCAAGCTGGCAGCGCTCGGCACTCTCACTACGTACCCTCCCCCTCCTCCTACTCCTAATCCTACCACTACCACCACCACTACCACCACGACCACTACGACGACTACGACGACGACGACAACGACGACGACGACTACTACTATGTTTTGACGCGCGAGTTTACTGATGTTTCTCGTGCATTGTATTATGGGGGGCCACCCGCGTGTGCGCGCGTGTGCGCGCGTGTGCGCGCGTGCGCGCGCGTGCGCGCGCGTGTGCGCTCGTGTGCGGCAGCGTGCGCTGCGCGGGTGCGCGCGTGTGCGCGCGTGTTTGCGCGCGTAGTGCGGAGCGTGTGTGCGCGCGTGTGCGCGCGCGTGTGCGCGTGCGCGTGCGCGTGCGCG